ATCTTTAACCCCAAATTGTTCTTTTTAATAAATTTTGTTACAAAAAAATTTTTTTGAAAAATTATTGAAAAATAAAAATAAAAAAAATCGGTTTTTAACACGAAATTAAGCAAGAAATCAAAAAATTATTTGAAAAGAGTCCAAACACCACCTATTTATCTCCAATCGTTTCGGATATCAATTTTTAATTAAAAAAAAAACAATTGAATTTTTTAATTTGACGTTTGATGGTTTTTAAGCTAACTTTTTTCGGTTTTAACGGAAATATATCGAGTTTGGTATCAAAATGAACGATTTTTAATGATCTTTAACCCCAAATTGTTCTTTTTAATAAATTTGGTTAAAAAAATTTTTTTTGAAAAATAAAAATAAAGAAAATTTAATACGAAATTAAGTAAGAAATCAAAAAATTATTTGAAAAGAGTCCAAACACCACCTATTTATCTCCAATCGTTTCGGAGATATCAATTTTTAATTAAAAAAAACAATTGAATTTTTTAGTTTGACAGTTTTTAAGCTAACTTTTTCCGGTTTTAACGGAAATATATCGAGTTTGGTGTTAAAATGAACGATTTTTAATGATCTTTAACCCCAAATTGTTCTTTTTAATAAATTTGGTTAAAAATAATTTTTTTGAAAAATAATTGAAAAATAAAAATAAAGAAAATTTAACACGAAATTAAGTAAGAAATCAAAAAATTATTTGAAAAGAGTCCAAACACCACCTATTTATCTCCAATCGTTTCGGAGATATCAATTTTTAATTAAAAAAAAAACAATTGAATTTTTTAGTTTGACGTTTGATGGTTTTTAAGCTAACTTTTTTCGGTTTTAACAGAAATATATCGAGTTTGGTATCAAAATAAAGGATTTTTGACGATCTTTAACCCCAAATTGTTCTTTTTAATAAATTTTATTAAAAAAAATTTTTGGAAAAATTATTTTGAAACAAAAATAAAGAAAATAATTTTTTTTATAACGTATTAATACGGGGAAGGCAGTGCCCATTATAGCTTAATAAAAATATACAATAACCTAGCGCTCAATAACAAATAGAACTAGACTAACACTAAAACTAACACTAGAACTAACACTAGACTTAGAACTAGAATCATTCGGATTTAGCCGTCTTGAGAGACGTGCGGCTAAATCCGAATGTTTCTAGTTCTCAGTCTAGTATTAGTTCTAGTTTTACACTGGCACTATCACTAGAACTAACACAAGACCTAGAACTAAAATTATTTGGGTTTAGCCATTCTGAGAGACGTGCTAAACCCGAATCTTTAGCATCTCGAATTTGCCTAGTATAATTTTTGCTTAAAACTAATAGCTGACCTTCTTTTTGGCGCTTCAATTTGAAAACACTCCTCCGAATTAAAAAACAGAGTTTAAGAATTAGATAAATAGGCATGCGAAGAAAATAAAATAATAAATACAGTTAGACTAAAATGAAACAGAAAACGCCAATTATAAATAATCCATCTAAGATGTAATAAAAAAACCAACCTGCTCATACTGAACGATCTCGATCTACTCCTTGATCCTCTCCGACGCGGAGATCGACTTCGCCCCCTTTTCGGCGATCTACTATAACTCCTACTTGTGCTACGACTATAACTCCGACCTTTCCGCTGTTTAGCCCTTCGCTCCCTCTCATCTTTTTCCCGAAGCATTCTATTAAACGCCTCTAAAGGATCATCTATTATCCCTGGAGGAGTGCGTGTTCTTATTCTAGTTGACCCAAAATCTCTTCCTCTTGATCTTGGGGGATAACCCGCATAATTAGGAGGTGGTCCTTGAATTGGGGGCCTTGTATGATCAAACATTGGAGGTCTTGTTGGTGCGTTATACGGTCCCATATAAGGACCAGGCGGATTTCCTGCAGCCATAGGCATTCGGTAATTAGGTGGTGGCCCTTGAGTCGAATACAACCCAGGCGGGGGTTGATTTTGTTGGAAATTTGGTGGAGGTCCTTGAAGATGAGGGGGAGGCATCCCCATAAGCGGAGGTAAAACTCCATGTGATGGGGGAGCTGTTGGGTAAGGACCGCTTGGGTTTGAATAATTTGTGTTTGAAGTATTTCCAGGGGGGTTTGCAACTACAGTGTTTCCAGGTTCATCTACAGTTGGAGTTCCGGGNAAATTAAAATTTGCAAATTTAGAGCTAAGGAAATGCCTTTGGAATCGCGTAATTTTAGTTTGCTACTGCCAAATTTGAATTGTGTGTACTCATCGTGTTCCTTAGGTCATTTTGAACATCTTAGGAACAAAAAAATTTTTTTAAATTAAAATTTGCAAATTTAGAGCTAAGGAAATGCCTTTGGAATTGCGTAATTTTAGTTTGTTACTGCCAAATTTGAATTGTGTGTACTCATCGTGTTCCTTAGGTCATTTTGAACATCTTAGCAACAAAAAATTTTTAAAAAATTTAAATTTGCAAATTTAGAGCTAAGAAAAAGACTTTAGAATCGCGTAATTTTAGTTTGCTACTGCCAAATTTGAATTGTGTGCACTCATCGTGTTCCTTAAGTCATTTTAAACATTTTAGAAACAAAAAAAATTAAATTTGCCAATTTGGAAGTATTTTTGTCATTGCCAAAATTGAAATGTGTGTATTAATCATGTTACAAAGGATACTTTACATATTCTAGAAGCAAAAAATGTTCCAAAATTAAAATTACAAATTTAGACCTAAGGATATGACTTTTTGCAATCGGTTGAATAATTTCTTCTACTGCTAAATATGAATTGTGTGTGCTCATCGTGTTCCTTAAGTCATTTTGAATATCTTAGGAACAAAAAAATTTTTTAAAATTAAAATTTGCAAATTTAGAGCTAAGGAAATGCCTTTGGAATCGCGTAATTTTAGTTTGCTACTGCCAAATATGAATTGTGTGTACTCATCGTATTCCTTAGGTCATTTTGAACATCTTAAGAACAAAAAAAATTTTTTAAATTAAAATTTGCAAATTTAGAGCTAAGGAAATGCCTTTGGAATCGCGTAATTTTAGTTTGCTACTGCCAAATTTGAATTGTGTGTACTCATCGTGTTCCTTAGGTCATTTTGAACATCTTAACAACAAAAAATTTTTAAAAGATTTAAATTTGCAAATTTAGAGCTAAGAAAATGACTTTAGAATCGCGTAATTTTAGTTTGCTACTGCCAAATTTGAATTGTGTGCACTCATCGTGTTCCTTAAGTCATTTTAAACATCTTAGAAACAAAAAAAATTAAATTTGCCAATTTGGAAGTATTTTTGTCATTGCCAAATTTGAAATGTGTGTATTAATCGTGTTACAAAGGATATTTTATACATTCTAGAAGCAAAAAAAATAAAATTGTGAATTTAGAGCTAAGGAAATGACGCGTAATTTTTTTTGCTACTGCCAAATTTAAATTGTGTGTACTCATCGTGTTCCTGAGGTCATTTTAAACATTTTAGGAACAAAAAAAAGCCAATTTAGACTTACAAATTAGTTTCATATGGTCTTCTTGGTGAATTCTCCCTCGATTTTCGATTTCTGCCCTCATTAACCTCGCTATGATTTGATGAGTGGCCATTTCTTTTC